CTGCTGCTGCTCTCGGGTGTCTTGACGGCGAATTCAGAGACAAAGTCATCACTGAGGCTGCATGCAGGCTGCACAGCCTCACCCCAAAGCATGCAGCAGCACTTCATCAGGCTCTGCTGCAGCAGCAGCAGCAGCAGCAGCAGCAGCAGCAGCAAATTGAAGACGCTGAGCTACACCTTGACGAAGAAGAATGGATCCTTGAACCGCTTCAGGATGCTGAGCCTCAGCAGCAACAGCAGCAGCAGCAGCAGCAGCAGCAACAGCAGCAGCAGCAGCAGCAGCAGCAGCAACAGGCTGTCTGTGGAGACGCTGCAATAGACGGATCAGCTGAGGTGCTGCAAGCTCTCTTCCTGCGCTCCCGCAGCCACTAAAACTTCTTTTTTGTTGGCGTTAGTTTATTTTGTTTTTATTTTATTTTATTTTATTCTTTTTGTTTTTATTTTATTTATTATTTTCTTTGTCTGCCTTGAAACAAAAACACAAATTCAAGTTTCCTTCCTCTGCTGCAGCGTGCAGCATACAGGGTAGGCTCTTAGGCTGAGAGTAGCTAGCTGTAGCTAGCCAGCTGTAGCTAGCTAGCTGTAGCTAGCTAGCTAGCTGTGGCTAGCTAGCTGTAGCTAGCTAGCTGATAGAGCTATATATAGAGCTAGTGTTGTGGTTCGTTGGCTCTGTGTAGTACGCTGCGTGCAGCAGAAACGGGTAGAGAGAGAAATAAATATAAATAGAGTTAGACAGGGACAAAGGGAATAATAAAATAAATATAATATATTATTTTATTAATTATATTATTTTGGTGTTGTTTTCTTTCTGTTTTTGTTTCTTCTCTGCTGCTGCGGCGCGGCTCAGCAGCAACCGCTGGGGGGCCCCGCGGTCGACGGTGCGGGTACCCAGGGCCGTGTGTTGGATATAAATGTAATAAAAATATCATAAAATTAAAATTAAATTATTTTTTATTGATTTAATTCAAAGAATTTAATATTATAGGGGCCTCTGCTGCTCAGCAGCAACAGCCGGCCTCACGCAGGTGTGCTGCCCGTCCTGCGCTGCCGTTGCTGCTCCTGCTGCAGCAACAGCAGCAGCAACAGCAGCAGCAACTGCAGCAAGAATAACAGCAGCAGTATCAACTGAAACAGCAGCAACAGCATCAACAACGGCAGCAGCAGCAGCAGTTGTTGTTCCTGCTGCAGCCGCTGACATCCGGTGCCCTGGTGAGTCTGCTGCTGCAAGCGGGGGCTTGTGGCCAGCAGCCACAGCAGCAGCAGCAGCTGCTGCTGCTGCAGCAGCAGCCCCAGTTAGCAGGAGCTCAAACAGCAGCAGGAGCAGCAGCAGCTGCTGCTGCAGCAGCAGCAACATCAGGGGGTGTAGCGAGGGGAGGAAGAGCTCTAGAGAACGCATCTGCTGCCAACGCTTTCCTCGCTCGCCCTGCAGCAGCAGCAGCAGCAGCAGCAGGAACAGCAGCAACAGCAGCAACAGCAGCAACAGCAGCATCAGCAGCAGCAGAAGGAAATCAGTTCCAGCGACAGCATCAGCAGCAACCGTGAAATAATCATCAGCATCTGCAGCATTATCTTCAGCACAACCCCGACCGCACGAATAAAAACACCAAAACAAATAAAATAAATAAAATAAAATAAAATAAAATAAAATAAAATAAACAAAGATGGCTCTGAACCCTGTGCTCGCCGAGGGTATCTCTGGCGACCTGTTCCCGTTGCCTTACCCCGCAGAGATATTTTTTCTGCGGCGAGAAAACATGAATTTCGAGTTGAGGGGCCCCAGCATGAAGCTGAAGTTTAGTGGTGGTATTTGTTACCTCAGCAGCGAGAGAATTATAGTGCGGCGTGGGGGAAAACCCCAGCAACACCAGCAGCAGCAGCAGCAGCAGCAGCAGCAGCAGCAGCAGCAGCAGGAAGTATATTCGTGTGAATTACCGCTGAATCTGCTGCAGCAGGTTGTGTTTAAACAACCTATATTAGGCGCTAATTATATAGAAGGTATTGTACACCCAAAAGAAGCAGCAGAATCAGCTCTCACTGCAACAGCAACATTCTTTCTTACGTTCCGTGCTGGTGGCTGCGGCACCTTCGTCAACCTTTTCTTTCCTCTTTTGCATGCAGCAGCAAAAGCTAAACAACCAGATATTCAGCTGCTGCAGCAGCTACAGCTCGGACACAATGCTGCCTTTGTAGACCCCAACGATCCCTCATTTGTATATGTTACACAGCCACAAACAAACCACCAGCAGCAGCAGCAGCAGCAGCAGCAGCAGCACTGGCAGCACCAACAGCAGCAACCGCCACAGTACTACCCGAGTCCATACCCTATGCAGCCGCAGCAGCAGCATCCGCAGCAGCCGCTGCAGCAGCAGCAGCAGCAGCAACCACCGCCCCCTCACCCGCAAATGCCTCCTCCATACCCGCAGCAGCCGTGGCCGCAGCAGCAGCCATACTGGCAGCAGCCGCAACCGTGGCAGCAGCAGCAGCAGCCGCAGTGGCAGCAGCAGCAACAACCATGGCAGCAGCAGCAGCGGCCTTCACCCTTTCCTCAAGCACAGCAGCAGCCGCAGCAGCAGCAGCAGCCGCAGCAGCAGCAACTGCCGCAGTGGCAACAGCAGCAGCATG